CCGACTGTTGACAGAAATATTACAAATGCATATAGGCACATGTTAATGAACTATTCTTGTTGAAATTTCATATGGTTTTTTGGTTATTTGGACTTTCGGACGCATCTTGAATCATGTTCGTATCGGTCCTCAAAATATTCGCCATTCCACAGCAGCTACGCATTACAATTGGGGAAGTCGAAGTCGTAGAATATAGTTAGCTGCGTCAGTGCATCACTGCTTTGGTTAATTCACAGATTTCGCGCCGGCACGCTCTTGTCGCGCGCTTAACAAGATTTTAATGGATTTTGGGACTTGGCGTTAGACAAATGGATGCGAGGAACATATTTTGTTTAATATACATATGTCTGTGTTCACAATTTCTTGATAATTAACAACGATTTCAGAAAGGATGAATTTAGTGTGCCTAATATTGATAATAACCTAGAATTAATAATAATACATAATAGTAATATCACGACAATCCACACATCTAGTCTTCCACTAAGTATAGTTTGTGTTACGGGTAATCGACTATTGATATAAATATATTTGTTATATACATATGTAATATTCATAGAATAGACCGATAAAAATAATTATATTCAAGATTACAAATGTTATTACTATGCGAGGAATCGAACCTACGACCTTCGGATATAAGACGGTGTGCTAAATCGTTAGACCATCAAGCCGTCAGGATAACTCACACAACACCATCTAGCCCCAAATTAAGCGTAGTTTATAGTATACGACTGAAAGAAATACTTAAATATTATATTTTGTAAATACATACATAATATTCTATATATATAAAACCACTCGAATCCACTAGAGCACCGTTCATCACCATCACCATTCGAATAAACTTTATTTTTTTTAATGTCTCGGCAAATTCTGTAATGAAAGAAGACTCTTCTTTGCCATCTTCAGAATATAGCTTTATTGTAGTCAAATAATTTTGAAGGTAAAACTTCGTCGCTAAGTACTTTCAAAAGAAAAATATGGGATGTACAAGAAGGTCTTTTATATTTCATATAAAGTATACAAGAAGTATACAGGAAATTGTCTGAAGTTTCCTGTTACGCTTGTATGACATGTTAAAAGTTAATAATGGTATTAACTTTAAATTGTACGTATTAAGGAATATTGTAAGCGTTATTTATTATTTGAGAACACGAGCTTTTGTTACGAACTAGCTTTTATATTATCTTACTAATATTATAAACGCGGCAGTTTTTGAGTGTGGATGGATGGATGTTTGTTACTCCTTGTGTCTAAATGTGGTTGAACAGATAAAAAAATAAACGCGTTGATATATTGTATCACACATATGTATGTGGAATATTGTTATCTATGGTAAAACTCAATAAATTACGGTTCTGTCTTGACATGTTCCTTCTTAGATGAATGGCCGATCAAGTAACAAGTTCAAGAGTGTTTAATTACTATAATTCCAAAAATACCAGTAAAAGGCGTCTTGCTTAGGCGTATTTCCATACATAGGCTACCTTTTATCTCATAAACTCGGACAAAGTCACGGTTAACAGTTAGTGCAATATATGTGTTTATATGAAAGAATCCATTATTAAATTTGTGCATGTTTTTGAAATTTAACAGATAAATACGAAATTCGTTAGTGAATAATTTTAATTGAAATTTGTATTACAATTAAAAGTATACGAAACCAGTTTTAAATGTTTTAAAGCGAGGTACGTCTCAATACAAATTCTATTTGACTGCTAACAGGCGTTAATAACTAACAAGCAAAACGCGCATCGCACTCCGGTTACAATTTTGTTGATGTACCGACCGAGTTTTGTATAGTCACTTCAGTAACGCAGACTAGACGTTCAGCCTGCCGTAGGGCTGTCATATCGTATAATTAGTTACAAATTATATTCTTAAATTAATATCACATTTTTACTCTACTTGATAAAAATCTCCGTCAGTTTTTAATAACTAACAAGCAAATCACGCAATGAACGCCAGTTACAATTTTGTTGATGTACCGACCGAGTTTTGTATAGTCACTTCAGTAACGCAGACTAGACGTTCAGCCTGCCGTAGGGCTGTCATATCGTATAATTAGTTACAAATTATATTCTTAAATTAATATCACATTTTTACTCCACTTGATTAAAATCTCCATCAGTTTTTAATAACTAACAAGCAAATCACGCAATGAACGCCAGTTACAATTTTGTTGATGTACCGACCGAGTTTTGTATAGTCACTTGAGTGACGCAGAATAGACGTTTATTTAAGCCTCTCGAAAGGCTGTCACATTGTATAATTAGTCACAAAAATATATTAATATTACATTTTATTACCCTTAACCGATATTAGTTTACATATGATTAAAAATTATCGTCAGGCGTTAAAAACTAACAAGCAAATCGCGCAACGCAACGGTTACAATTTTGTTGATGTACTTATCGAGTTTTGTATAGTCACTTGAGTAACGTAGACTAGACGTTCATTTGAGCCTCCCGTAGGGCTGTTATTGGAATTTTTGTTATTAAATTTATATCTGGCCAGCTAGAGACATTGCATATATTCTATATGTTCATATTTAGAAAGCTAGTGTATATTTGGTATCTTCTATTTTTCGTAAATGTTTTTTGACATATTGTGAGCTGTGTGTATTAAACCTCTACCGCGGACATATTGTATAATTGGTTACATTATTAGGGACTCTATTTTTCAACCTACACTGGATGATTATAGTTATTTATTGTTACTGAAAATATATCTACGACGGTAAAAAAGGTGTTGGTTATGATAACCCTATATGGATGAGGTTTTTTGCCGTTCGAGGAATGTTATACGTTATAAATTATTTTTACAAACAAAATTGGCTACATGTGAGTTATTCAGATGCGAGCACATCAACGGCAAAACCGGAGTTGAAGACAGTCGCCGTGACCAAATCGGCCGGGATTACATCATCATCATCATCATCATCATCATCATCTTCTTCATATGTTATACGTTATACATACAAATAACAATTACAAAGATTATTATTCCAATTTCTTATGAAAATACAATAAAAAGAGGTTGTGTTGTATTCAGTGGTCTTATGAGTATAATGTCAAAAGATATTGGTGTAAAAATAGTATTTTTTTTGATAAAATCTATTTCTAAGAATTTTTCTATTTTACTTTTATTTTATTTGCCATATTTATTATAATAGATAACGAAATAAACTTCGGGTAAATAAAACTCTTTTGTTACTAAAAAGAGTTCTAAACATTTTAATATGAATCGCACACCTACGTACATAATTTTTTCCGCCCAATAAGGAAATCATTTGAAATAGCAGTAATCTGCGGCGACAGCCCTTATTCATGAGTGCCGCAAGCGTTAACTCCACACCTGAATGGTGCCTCCTCATTAACCAGTCTGCGACACTCAGACAAGTTTTTATTTATATATTCACCAGTTTCTACCAGCAAATTCTTCCGCTACACAAGACTACATACACTTCCGTGGCTCTTCACTCGCACCTAATAATAATAATTTCAATCAAGACAATTCGCATAGCGTCATCTAGTCCCAAGCTAAGCTGAACTTGTGTTATATATGTATGCTAGGTCCTTGACAACTAATATATATAATACCCATATTGTATCGCAGTGATGTATATAATCTGTATTGCATACTATTTTATATTTCATAATAATTTTTTTATCTCTCTATCTAATATGTATACATTTTTTTGTAAAGATTTACATCACATCTATGTATATTACATAGAAAACACCCAGATACAGATAATCATACTCATCAATATAAATAATTGTGCGAAGAATCAAACTCGTGACCACCGGAAATAAGGCGGTGTGCTAAACCGCCAGATCACCGTGAACGTTTGATTCATCTGATTTCATAGACCATGCGGCTTGCTTTGTAAGATGTTTTTCGATTGCAGAAGATAATGCAGAGTTTCAGGTATCACATGTTTCCGTGATTTCCTTCTTCAAGTACATGCCGGCGGTGACTTACCATAAACAATAATAATCTGCTTTAAAAACATCAATGGTTACCCCTTACCATCAGGTATTCCAACAGCTTGTACAAAAAAATTATGTAGACAACTTTGAAAATTTGAACTGAAATTCTATATTAAGGAGTAAGTACTTCTTATAAAGGCAATATCAAATTTAAGGAGCCATGACAGCGTTTCATATTATATAGGTACTTTCTATATCCTCTTTGTAAGAAAATCTTGTTCTAAAGTGAAATCTTTAAACTTGTTTCTCAGCGTCAAATAAAACGCCGCCAATCTTAATAACAGATTCCATAAAACAGTCTACTCACTCGCTAACGAGCCATATCAAGCCCTCATGCTGAGTATGAACCTATATACCACTAACTCGCCCATTATTTTACATGTTATTAATTCTCGGAGCTTCATCATTATCGCAGCCTCTTTTAATTACGTATAATGAATAAGCGAAAATTACCTTTTGTATTATTCCAAAACCCTTTATGTGAGCCGGTTCAGCCATATCTTAATGAGGTTTTGAAATTTTAAAGGCTGTTTTGGAAATAATTAATGATCGTTGAGTAATGCGGGCTTGTCAGTGCACTTAGTGTCTCAAAAATGTGTTCCCATACACATACATACATACATACATATGTACCGTTTTGTAGTAGATTTGAGATATATTATATTTTCAGAGAGATTATATTAATATAGTTTTATAATTATATTATTATATCACTAGGATATCACTAGTGATACAACTAGGTCGCATTTAGACTCCAAAGGACATAACTTCGAATTTGGCTACCGATGCTGTTGCTTCTTTTTTTACGTTTTATTCAATAGGAAAGGTTCCAGGGATTAGGACATTGGGATAACCATTTTTTTTTTATTCATACTTTCCATGACTTCGTCTGCATGATGAGGACCGAGCAGATAAAATCAGTAGGCATCATGTTCTTCTCGTATTCAATATATTTTTTGAAAAATAAAACTAATATAATTAAAAATATTATTTTATTACCTCTTATTATGATAACAACAATAATGATCAAGTACTTTATTTTATAACGCTGGTTTTAGAGAAAGAAACTTTCCACTGAGATACTGATTTTATACTACCTGTATAACTCTTACGTACCCTAGAATACTCTACTTAAGGTAATATTTTCAGCTACGTTTATTTGATAATTACAATGTATTCTTACAGAACATTGAATTTCCAAATCAATAATTTATGATAATAGTATCAAAAAGCAAATTGAAAGTCAATAAGGCAATATATTGTAACAAAAAATATTTCATGCTTCTCAGATATAGTAAGTTCACAGTAGATCATAAAATGTAGAGGACAAAAGAAAAGAGTGCAATTTAAGTTATTACAGATTGTTCTCAGTCTACGAATTGAGTGTCGCCACTCTGTTTTACAGCTCACTTGGCACTTATTCGGTTTTTTTTTACAAAAATATGAATTTTTTTACTAGCAATTTTTTACTGTTCCGTGCTAACACTTCTCGGCATCTGTTGACTTTGTAGCTGCATTTCTTAAAATGTCTTTTTTATGTTCAAAATATAGCCACCTGAAAAATAAGTTTTAGGTGTCATCTCAGTTACGATGCCGTTTCATGTGGATACAAAAATGTTGTTAAAATGTTATGGTTGAAGGACATACTTCGATACATTGAAATTGTATCGTAAAGTTCTGATGTTAATAACTCATGCATTATACTGAAGAAATGTAATAAAATTGTTTTAAGAGCGTTTAACAACCGCAATTTTATAACATTCACATTATCTGTCCTTTTTCAAAAACAAACAGTTGTCAATATGTCCGAATAATTATTTACAATAAGTTATTGTGTTATTGATTTAAAATTGTAATCATAGAATATTAATAATTATATTATTAAGCATAATATAACGACGACAATATATGTATAAATATTAAATTCATAAATCAATTTATAGTTATTATTACTACAAAAAACCTACTTTATTTTTCGATAGATATTTTCCATAAAGTTTTTACTTTTTAATAATAATCACATTGCAAGATAAAACTCCATTGTTGTGTATAATATCATATTTATTTATTTAATTCAGGCTACATGGCCATATTATAAATACCAATTCACAAATGTTGATATCTTGTTTTTGAAAATTTACCGATAATATAAACTGGAATGGGTGGCATGCTGATAATCCATTCGATGGAAAGTGGCAACCTTTGTCTATACATGAACAGAACGATCGACATAATAGCGTCTCGTTCTTAGGTAACCGCGGGTTACTATAACAGCTTTTAACTTCAACTTTCGTTGAAGCTGTAAAGGCTAGTTGCGATAAACATCGGTAGAATAGTCCGAAAAGAATCAATAAAAAAACACGCATTCTATTTTTGAAAGTGTGAACCGTCACATATAGATATAATGAATATGAAGTCAATAGTCAATTTGACGGCCTAGTGGCCTAGCGGTTTAGCACACTGCCTTACTCCCAATGGTCCCGGATTCGATTCCTCGCACGATACAAACATTTGTGTTCATTAATATGATATTGTTGGTATTGGTCTGGGTGTTTTTTTCGTGTATAAAATATCTATGTACTGATCAGTTGTCTAGTATCATTCTGCTTAGCTTGGGACTAAATGATGCTGTGTGAGTTGTTCTGAGATTATTGTTATTATATTAATAATAGTGTTTACTATTTCCTGAGAACAGAATCTGGGAATGATAGTGAGACCTGGTATGGAATCTGATAACTTATTTAGTTTTCTTACCCAAATATGGCAATAGCGGGTAAAGTAAGTAACGCGCCCATCAGGAACACTGCCCCTGGCAGAATCTTAAGTGTTTCCATATAAACTCTGGAGTACAATGGTCCGTAGACTAAGGGCATTGTTGCTTCTGCTAGTCCAAACAAGGAATTTACTTTACCTGGAAAGAACAATGTCTAAATCAAACTTAAAAGAAAAATTTTAAATACAAAAATATATCCCAGTGTTGTAGGTCCAAACACCTGACAATAGCCCAAACAACCGAATAAATAAAAATACAATAATATAGGGAAATGAAAGAAATGAATCAATTTGTATTTACTTTTTATGTGTTAGCGCAGCAAATATATAGACACAACATAGTATAAAATGAAGTAGCTACCTCTGGCTGTTCGCTTACATTTTTTAAACTATGCAACGGATTTCAATGCTATTCTTAGCAGTAGATTGAGTGATTCAAGAGGAAGGTCTACATGTATAATACATGTACACACGTGCGAAGCCCAGAAAGTTGCTAGTTTGACATAATATAACTTGTAGTTATTCATAGAAATCCCACAAACGTTATAAAAACCGCCAAATATCTTTAAAAGTAATTTTTTTATTAGATCTACAACTTTTTCAAAATACATTATCCCCGTATAGGGGATAATGTATAAAATATTATGCAGAGAAATAATAGAGTCATATCGAGTCATATTCATATTAACATTTATAATTTTGTTAATCATGAGAACTACAAAAACGTTACTAAATATTTAAAAAATATCGTTTAATTATTATCTTTCACATAACATGAAATTTGAGTTCTATTTATTTCATCAAACTTCGACTATTGAATAAAGCAACCAATTCTACGATTTAATCACAGCATATTTTTTTTATTATATAGAGTTGACAGACACTTTTGTGTTTATAATATAAATATGAAAAACATCATATATTTAATTAACAACCAAATCACATATTTAACAAAATACTTCAAACATATCAGGACATATAGTATAATCTTATCTTAACTTAATAATATTATAAACTCGAAAGTTTGTGAGTATGGATGTATATTCGTTTTTTAGTTAGTTCATGCAAAAACTACTGAACGGATTTTGATGAAACTTTACAGTAATATAGCTTATACACCAGAATAACATATAGGATATGATTTAATAAGATATTATGTATATTGGGCGAAATATAGTAATAAATGTTACGTAAGTCTGAGGCAGGCGAAGTTGCGCGGGACAGCTAGTATTTAATAAAATACCTACTGTTTATTATACAAATTTTAATCGAATACACCATTCTTATTCAAGCGTAATGTAGTAATCACTCGACCAATGCTAAAGGGATTGTTACAGATCCATATACACAGCTATTCAAAGTAAAGGATCTATTCTTGTTTACTCAACTCCACGTGTAGACTGAAATGTACGGGATCGAATGTTTTTTTTTGTGGATGATAATGGAGTGGTGCACTCGCCTGCGCTAACGGTTTACGCTAGCGGGGCACCAGTGGAGGATGAAAAGATGAGCATGAAGTCAGGTCAGTTGGCCCATCGTGAGAAATTCACCAGGAATTTAACACGATGGTTTCCAAGGGGATCCGCGTGGAGGTCGTCCTGACATGGTACATTGCTAGCAATGGGGTTATCAATCCACATTACTAACAATCCCCTTCCCCCCGGGATCGAATGTTAACGAAATACTAGTATCAAGTAAGCTGTAAATTATATGAAAAGTGCTAATTTGTTGTTTAAGGTTATACTTATATAATGGGTTATACTATATAATGAGTTCAATGTACATTTGTCGGCCTTGGTGGTGTAGCGGTTTAGCACACCACTTTACTTCAGACGGTCGCAGGTTCGATTTTTCGCAAGGTGCAAACATTTGTATTCATGAGGATGATATCGGTCTGGGTGTAACCTATGTATATTATGTATGTGTTTACAAAAAAATATATCTAAGTATTTATATCAGTTGTCTAGTACCTATAACACAAGCCTTGCTTAACGTGGGACTACGTTTTTATTTACGTTTTACGTTCACTGATATTGAGATATACATATATGTATATACGTTGCATTAAATTACTATGTTACCAAAGTTACCTAGTGTTAGAAATATTTTTGTTTTTCTATGTTACAGCTTGACACCAACTTACTTCCAACGGCCGCAGGTTCGATTTCGCGCACGATGCAAATATTTTATATATTAGTATGATATATATGATTGTTTGTCCGATACAGATATCTGGGTATTCATAACGAGTTTAGCTTGATGGCGCTGTATGAATTGTCCAGGACTATTTTTATTACATTAGCAGTACCAGAGACATTATGGCAACATATGCCCGTGATATTCTTTATCAGAGTTGCCAGACAAATATAAAACAAAATTATATTTATTATTTATTTTTTATATTTTTCTAAGGGGCAAAGCTTTAAATAGGTCATCACAAAAATACGAAGAAGTTAGATTTTATTAATATGGGATGTCTGGCAACGCGGGTAATATACTCTTTATACTATTGAAGATAAATAAATGAATACTTACCGACATCATCGCCGTCGACAAGCTTCGTGGCTATAGAGCGCATCGCAATGAATGATGTGCCGTTCAGGAACTCGAGAAGCGGAACTGTGAACAAAAATTAGAACACATTTTTAATAATATTACAAATAAATAGGTAAATCGATAATTAACTCTTTAGAAAAATATTTACTTTTGTAGTATATGTATTTAATACTAGCTGTGCCCGCGACTTCGTACGCATGGTACAGTACCTTTCATGGTATTTTTAATTATATAGGCTCATTAAAAAATAAAGTGCTAAAGAATAAAGTTTCATCGTTCTAGCTTCAAAAATGACGAATTTTCGTTCTACATAATTTTCATCGTATCCCATTAAGAATTTTTCTTAATGGGATAAAATAAAATAGGTAAAAATAATAAATTACATACTTTGAATGTCATATTTATTTATATTTAATCAACAGCTTTAATAATTATTTTCAAGCTGCTAGCTTTAAAAATTACGATACATCTATTCAAAATTTCATCTACCCTTCCAACCACTTACAACCCTATTTTCTCATTAAAAAGTAGCCTATGTCGTTTCTCAGGGTCTAGACCATCTGTGTACCAAATTTCATTTAAATCGGTTCAGTAGTATTGATGTGAAAGCGAGGCAGACAGCAGACAGAGTTACTTTCGCGTTTAGTAACGATTTATGGTTTGCTAAATAAAGTTACATTAGTGATACGATAGTTATTGAATAACGATAAACTGCATCAGATAAAACTAATTTTGTTTTAGATTTACAATGATAAATTTCTTTTCACAAAAAAAACTTGGGATGCAATTGATTATAAGGTGTGCGATATTGTGTCTTATAGTCATAGCGATAAGGAGAAAGTAGTTAAAGGAAATAACAAACGCAGCATTGTTTCTATAAATGAGAGTAATATACCCTTATCATATAAGCATTTAAACAATATTAAAGTTCATTAATAGATAATGGAATCTACAATGACACTCGTTTGTTTGAGAAGGTAATGAAGATAGCATCAAGTGTCAATTATAAATGGAAGATAATATTCTCGGTAGTAGACAATAAAGAGATTATACACTGAATATTATTATTGTTAATTTATAAATTCAACACAATCAAATTGAACATTATAAGTAACTACGTGACCCCGCGGTTTCATCCGCGTGCCATTTATAGCCTATAATATTTAAAGCATTAAACATCATGATAACACATCATGTTAAAGCTATATTATTGTAATTTGTAATATTTGTAGGAAAAGGTAACGATTAAAATAATAAAGAATTAAAAAATATCCCTTCCCCAGTGTATATTTATTTAAATTAAGTATATATATTTTGAATTTTTTTGAATTTTGTATATTTATTTAAATTTAGTATACTCATTCAAATAAATACATAGGATTTACTACTAACGGGTAACAGCTAGGTAACTATAAATCGAAGTTTGTGAAGATGATTGTATGCTACTCATGTATTACAAAATTTACTAGGTGGATTCGACTGACATTTAGTACACTCATCCAAATAAATGCATAGGATTTATTACTTGTATTTAACTGTGATATACAAAATAAATCGTGCTAATTTGCTTGGAAAGCTAATACAACAAAACGCAAATTAAATTGTTAAATTCTAATTTTCTGCGTGCAGTAAACATAGGATGTTGCAGTTTATTGCTACGGAACTCATGTTCAGATTATCATATATACACCCATGGCGTTATTTCGGAGAGAGTTAAATTCATTAAACTGAATGCAAACAGCGCGAGAGCATAACTCGGAACACACTGTATTATAAAGTTACAAAATGAAAAACACTAAAATAGATTCGGACTGGGTAGAGACCCGAAGGATTAATGATGTGTATGGTGGTGGTGGGAAAACACTTAACGTTTTCGTTCTTAACTAAGTAATATATACGTGGGGAATATTAATAAGTGATGCTTGTTGTGAGTTTATGGAAGCTAGTGTTATGTTGGCATGCTGCGGAAATGTTCAGGCGACCTCGGTGGTCTAGTGATTTAGCACAGCACGTTACTTCTAATGGTTGCGGGTACGATTCCTACGACGGTGCAAACATTTGTATTCATAAGTGACAATGTTTGTATAGGACCGGGTGTTTTCTATGTTTATTGTATATTTGCAAAAAAATATTGAAGTATTTATATCAGTTATATCATATATAGTTAGAACTCAGAACACAAGCTCTACTTATATTGGGACTAGATGGCGCTGTGTGAATTGTCCAGGCTTATTATTGTATACTAGCTTTTAACCGTGACATCAGCTGTGAGATGCTGCGGAAATGTTCAGGCGACCTCGGTGGTCTAGTGATTTAGCACAGCACGATTTAATGGTTGCGGGTACGACATTTGTAGAATAAATAGTAGTCTAGTCTCAATAATTTCAAGACAATTGACACATCGCTATCTAGACCCAAGTTAAGCTAGCTAAAGCTTGTGTTATGTGTACTAGACAACTGACACAAATACATATATATATATACATATATATTTGTAAATACATACATATTATAAATAGAAAACACCCAGACCGATACAAACAATCATACTCATGAATACAAATGTTTGTGCCGTGCAAGGAATCGAACCCGCGACCATCGGACCTAAAGCGGTATGCTATACCGCTAGACCACCGAAGTCGTCAAAGTATATATATGGAGCCGCTGGTATATACATAGTGTTTTTTTAAATGCCTTTCATTAAGATTAGTTCCGTTGTAAGGTAAGAAACAAAAAAATTTATTTAAAATTTATAATATTAAAAAGAAAATAAGAGGTAATTCATTAGCATTAAGAAAGAACTAATTCATGATTTAAATTATATTTAAGAAACAGAGAATAATATGTGAAAACTTAGCGTTAAAGTTGGTACATAAAATTATAGAGTAAATTTGTTATATAATTTAAATGGGAAGATAATTATTATTAATACCCTTTGTATAATTACACAACAAAAGAAATTATAAAGGAAATAATTGAAAACTGGAAAGCTTATAATAAGATTCAAGAACTGTACAAGTGCTGTTTCTTTTGTCCTTTACGTGACCTAATAAAAAAAGTATTTTATATTTAACAAAATATTGAATAAGAATTTATATAGATTTACTATTGTATACTCGTATAATGAAGAGAAAGCTGTCTTGTTATAGGCAGATTTAAACTAGAGAATTCCCTTTTTTTTATTTGAGGAAAAAAGTAGTGAGTTCCCTAGGAAGAAAACCGCATCAGGAATCTCCTTGTAGGATATATTGATGACTGTGGTATGTGTTTACATGTGAGTTGCAATTTTTAGGTAACTGAAGCAGAAAAAAAGCCAACGGCCTACTTAAACGTAGTGGCAACCATCGCCTATATATATGAACAGCACTATAGATATCCCGTCATAATACCACTCCCAAGATATGACGGCTTCGGTGGTCTAGCGGTTTAGCATATCGTCTTATTTCCGATGGTCGCGGGTTCGATTACACGCACGGTAATAACATTTGTAGTCATAAGTATAATTGTTTGGACCGGTCTGGGAGTTTTCTATATACAATATGTAGGTATGTACGAAAAAAATATCGATGTACTTGTAGCAGTTATCTAGTACCCATAACACAAGCTTTAGTTGGCTTAACTTGAGTCACGCTATACCTCACTCGTTGCCATTAAAGAGCATTAAGATATCATGCGTCTATGTGCTTAAATTGCACTGAATTATCTTAACTTGAGTCACAGGTTACGAAATAAGCTGCTTGGCAGCTGGACTAAGTGAGGCAGAGACATGCAGACGACTTCGTATAAAGTCTGCCTTGGTTTTAATTTCATCATCATCAACACACTGCAGTCCCCTACTGGACAGAGGCCTCTCTCAAGGCACGTCACTAGCACGATTATCAGCTCTTCTCGTCCAATCTTTACCTGCAACCCTACGTATGTCATCGCTTCACGTAGCAGCGATGCGTCATGGATGGTGCGATATGGGTACATTCTCAAAGGTACTCTACGTTTGATAATGTTTGTTTTTACTTTATTTTTTATAAACAGTTCTTCATAAGCACGGGCCTCTACGCTTTTGCCTAGTTTGTCTTAGGGGTAGGGCTTGCCCTCTAACTCTCTGCTAGTAATAATGTTAGTACTCACCCAAATATATTTCCAAATCAGTTTTCGCGAACGCATACCCAAATGCCGCTACAATTTTACTTGTACATGATATAATTCCAAGCAGAGTGTCGTCTAAGTCCAAATATTTGCTGAATAGTGCTATTGAGAATAATGTACCTGAAAACAATGTTATGCATGTAATTTCTAACTATCAATAAGAAAAAGGTATTTTTGTATTACTTTGTTGGTGATATTGATATGTTCCACCCGCCTGTGCTATCAGTATACGTTGACGGTGCTTTAGTGGAGGATGACAAAATGAGAATGAGGTTAGGTCAGTTAGATCACCATGACTAACAAAGTTCATTAAATTATTTATTTAATGGCGTTGGTGATCTAGCGTTTTAACACGCCGCCTTATTTCCGATGGTCGCGGGTTCACTTCCTCGTAGGGTACAAATATTTGTATTCATGTAGAGTATGATTGTTTGTATTGGTCTGGATGTTTTCTATATTACATAAAAAATGTATGTATGTAATTATATCAGCTTTTTAATACCCATGACACTAGTTTTACTTAGCTTGGGACTAGATGACGCTGTGTGAGTTGTCCTGTGATTTAGGATCTACAACGTCACAAGCGCTTTGTAAATATAAATATATAAATAAATTTAAAACATATAAAGACCCTTCCTGCAGAAACAATAACAGTAAAATAGTTAACTTACCTAATAAATTTGTTACTATAGCATATGTGGACCATATACTGTATTGTACCTCGTCCCAGTTGAATCGGTACCTCGCAAACAAGTACTGAACGCTGAATTCGCCTGAAAACAGTGACAAATTTAACACGATTTACTCACTAAAGTTCCTAATTTTCATGGAAACTGTCGCTCTACTATATTCTCGAATAATCGTTTTAATATATGAACATGACAAACCTTATTTAGCAATTTATGATGAATAAGGTAATATTGTACTAAAGCATTATGAAATTATGTGACGTAGTTCATAACAATTTCCGTTTGTAAATTAAATCTTCAGTTTTGGGATTTACTATGGACGATTAGCAATTGTAAATTGCATGTTGTCAAATAAAATTTCAATTGTTACTGTATATATTAAATCCTAAATGTAAGTGTAATGAACACTTTGTAATTAATGCTGTGATGATTTTGTTCAGCGAGTATTATATTTGTAATAGTTCAGAACTTCGTTAAACATGAGCGTCTCTATTTTGTTAGTAGTTTGTAAAATCAATCTTAAGATTTTAAAAGTTTACTGTTTCATTAAACTTGACCCTCTGGATTTGTCGTGTAGCTGCGTACTGATCGTAATTGGAAACTTCCCGACTATGAGTGGTAATTGTCATTTACATACAAGAATATAAGCAGAACCATGGCCATTACATCATCATGTAATACCAGTAATTCTTATGCGTTGCAATGCGTATTAGGTATATGTAAGTTATCCCACAGAATCCTATGTCACTGATATATCTCATCTTTCAACTAAAATATACTTTCTGAGCTATGTTTCAGTTGAAGATGAATTTGTACAAAGTGTAACTTAGAACCTTGTTATTATGTCGTAAGAGTTTAAAGTAAAACTAAATGTACATACCATGCATAGGTCCAAATATAACGCATACTGCTATTAAAAGTAAAGCAACTCTCAATCTTCTATTTCCAGGTCCTTTTTTGAAGGCAACTTTAAACGTATCTAATACCAGAGAAATATCAAAGAATTCCTTTATAAAACTACGGTTTTTCTTTCCTTCTTTTTTCTGAAAATTATATTGAATAATTTCATAAAAATGCACTAAAAGTTGTTCTACTTCATAATTCAAAAGACTATTTTATACTTACGTAATTTTCTAATTTTGCAGTTTTTGGTTCCTCTAAACAATAATATCCATATATTAAGCTGAAGAAATAAAGTACTGCCGATAATGAAAACACACCGTAATAACCTATCCACGTTAAAAGAATTCCACTCAGAGCACTACCTATAGGGTATCCCAACGTCATACATAAATTCACTATGCCTACTCTATATGTTCTTTCTTCAACTGTCGTTATATCAGTTATGTAGCTGAATACACCAATAAAATTAGTAAACCATCCCCCAGTTATAGCTGGAAATATAGCTTCTGTGAATGCGGCAACTTCGACTGGCAACTCGTAGAAAAAATATGTATTAACGATAAAACCAATACACGTCAGAAACTCCCCTACAATTGGTAACATGATACAAGATTTCCGTTTCCCAGTCTTGTCACTCCACGCGCCGACAAACAATATCAACATTACTGGTATAGCTGTTTGTATAACATTTTTCCAAGCTTGAATGCTGGCTGTTAACGTTTGAACTGCTATCTCTTCTTGAGTATAGTTTTCCGTCTCTCGCATAGTCAGGGCGTCGCAAACTTCTGCACTAAAGTTCAGATTGACACGGCAAGCCTTTTCTAAGTTCAAGTTTTGAGTTGCGAGGGATGCAAGCACGCTTGGCATTACATAACATGCCATAATAGGTTCAACTGTAATATTTGCTTTTATTATTCTCAGTCTGTCCATAATTGATACTTTAGGTTTCTCAGCTTCATGTTCCGTTTTTTCTTTACTTTCCTCTAATTTCAATGGAGTCTGCTCATCAATTTCATCTTTTTGTTTTTCATTCACTGGATCCGCGTGATTATCATTTGATTCCATGTTCACGAAATTCACTTCAGGAGGAAAAATACAAGTTCACGTTATTCCTTCAATTTTCAACTGCCAACAAATCGAGTGTTGTGTTTTAATTCAGATGTATAATTATATTACAGTAATTAATGACACTTATTTGTTTTATAATATGATAAAGTTTATTGTGTGGCACTCAATCTATTCTAAATATTTACATTGTTTTATTATAACGCTGCTGATAAATGTACATAATATTATGACGTGAACTAAAATTAGGAGCAGAAATGTGAAAAGTAATTACTGATATCAAAAATAAGTAGAGTATGCTACCTAGATGTAGTCCTTACTACTCCAATGAAAGGTCTTTCGAAACCTCTTAGAGTTCAAATATGCCAGACAAAATAATGTTTCTGTAGAAACACTGTTAATAAACCAAAATAATTGCCTTTAAATAATTTTATATTATAGATAGATAGAAATTTAAATATATAATTCAATATCTATTATTGCGTTCAAATATATTGCCTGATAAATATAGGCATGTAAAAATTTCTACTATGACAACGACGACATCCCAAACTACACCATTTAATACAACAGTCATGAAGGTAAATTATTATTTGATTATCATTAAAAATAGTAAAGGTGTATCAATAAAAAAAATAAAGATATGTAATAAAATTTTAATATAAAATAAATTCAGGCGAAATATCACTAAATAATAATACACTTTATTCACAATAAAACTTCCTTAAACTGCTTTCAGCGAGTCATATTCTTTAGTATTTATTTATAGTATTGTGTTTATTCACATGTACCTTTATATACATATTATTTACGTATCATTTATTTTTAGTACATCCTCAGTTCTGATAAATTTTACTTTCCATTACTGCAGACCAATTACATATATACGTCCATAGAAAAAACATTCTTTCTCAAAGATTTGGAGACAGTTTGTACATATATATTTTATTTTTTCTTGTTTTAACTTAATTTGTTGTACTAAATCTAATTAAACTATCTAATTTAATTACAGTTTTCACTATGTTCAAAATAATAGACCATTGCAACTGCATTCCTTAATTAGCTCTCAGAAATTATATAATAACATATAGTTGTGATTTCTGACTAGTTTTAATTTTCTATAGTTTTTGAAGTACGGATACTGGGGTATATTCTGTTTCTTTTTTTGATTTTCTAACACCTTTCCTATGCTCGTAGAGGAGCCATCTGGAATTAAATTGAAAGTTTTAATAAGATCTTAAAATTTTAGATATATATATATATACTCTATTTGTGATATATAGCAAATAAAAAACAAACAATATATTAAAGAACATGTATATGTGTACAATAAGGTGATAAATTTTATTATCATGTATGAGTATATTCATAATAAAAAATGTTACTTGTTGAAATTGGTAAGAGCAATTTTAAGAAGGTATTATTTTATATTGTTTCCTTTGGATTTTTTAAACAACATCATCCTTGTGAACACAGTTTAAATAGTATTTCGCTGCTAGATTGATCCTCTACATTGAGTTATGAGCTATTTTGTATTACTGTGGCCCACACATGCGGGTTTATGTATATTCTATTGCATTGGTTTAAATATTCCGTATTGTATACCACTTGTAATTAATATAGATAGATAGACACACAGTAAAGAAAAAGGCATAAACAATTTATTAAAGGACAACAAGTATTGTTACAATACGGCGGCCTTATTGCTGAAAGCAATCTTTGTGTGTGTAAGCTTTGCTTTGCTTAAGCTATATGTGTGTACTACATATACATATATCTATCTATTGTATACATTAAATTTGACGAGGTCATTATATATACGTATAATTAGGGAAAATAACGAGATCTTATCACATTTTATTTATTTTCGAATTCCCCGATATTTCTTAATGAATGAATTTTGAAGATACTGTGAGTATAGTTTGCCGATATTAATATCGAGTTTCAATAGTCGCAACCAACGAATATGTGTAAAGGTAGACGAATATGTCTGCCTATAAAAGATTTTATTTAGCATGTACCCGCTGCTCTACAGTTTACCCGTGATCATGGCGGCTGAAACACTGCCGAAATATAGGGAACACAATAAAAATAAATTCAACGTTAGGTTGAAGATCACGTGATTTTTCCTAAGAATCGATTATATATTTTTTTATAATTTACGTAAATATTTTACAATTATATATAATAAAGAACGCCATCTAATCGCTAACGAAGCATAGTTTAAGCTACAGGGACTAAATCAAACCATTGATTTAAATAATTTTATTGCAAATATATAATACTAGCTGTGCCCGCGATTTCATCCGCGTGAAATTTACATATAGCCTGATGTATAACAATACTGTAAAGTTTCATCCAAATCCGTTGAGTAGTTTTTGCGTGAAAGAGTAACAAACATCCATCCATACTCACAAACTTTCGCGTTTATAATATTAATAAGATGAGTATAGAAAAACCTAGATCAATAGAATTATACTCATTAATAAAAATATTTAAATATTAATATTGACGACCTCGGTGGTCTAGCGGTCTAGCACACCGCTTTACGTCCGATGGTCGCGGGTTCGATTCCTCGCACGGCACAAACATTTGTATTCATGAGTATGATTGTTTGTATCGGTCTGGGTGTTTTCTATGTATGATATGTATGTATTTACGAAAAAAAAAATCTATGTATTTGTATCAGTTGTCTAGTACCCATAACACAAGCTTTAGCTAGCTTAACTTGGGTCTAGATGGCGCTGTGTGAATTGTCTTGAGATTATTATTATTATTTAATATAGTCCGAGGATAGAACTCAACCACAGTAAGGTGAGGCAGGCTATAACTACTAAGTTACTAAGTTTGTCGTGATATTAGTATTCGTAGGTCTATTAAACACTTGATAGGAAAAAAATATAACGTGTGGTGACCTCGTATAACACATAGTACGGGACAATTTCCGTTATATAAAACTAGTCGTGCACCGCGACTTTGTATTTTTTTAGTAATAAGAGATAGTTTATTTGTCGTCATGATGTATTAAAATCCTATCCTCGAACATCCAATAACAAACAAATAGACACACTTCCAAATATACCTATATATAAATATATAAAATAAAAAAATATAATATACAAATGAAAAAATATTATATTTATTTGTCTATCTATCTATCTCTTGTCTTTTTGTTCTTGTTAATCTTCGAAACTGCTGGACCGATTTTGACGGGACTTTCATTCGCAGATAGCTAATTTTTGGAGGAGTAACATACCTACTACTTTTATTTTAGAAATGTTATTTATTTTAATAATAAAATTAAATTCCACGCGGATGATGTCGGGGGTAACAACTAGTATTAATATATACAAAATTCACGAAGTCATGATAAACCGAGCATTTCCGGGCGGGTTTCTACTACATTAAAATTGCCAAACCATATGGTATTTTTGTGTTAACTAAGATGTTAGAAACGAATACAAACAAATAATTCAAAGATTAATACATAATATACTAGCTATGTCCGCGGTTTCACTCGCATGGAATTTATAGCCTATATATTATTCTGATGCTCCGATTATAAGCTATATTACTATAAAGTTTCATCAAGAACCGTTCAGTAGTTTTTGGGTGAAAGAGTAACAAATATCCATTCATACTCACAAACTTTTGCATTTATAATGTCAATAAGATTAGAATTAGTTAGCTAGTTAGAAAGACAGACAAAATAAAAACAAAGATTTTTTCCTGTTTATGTTAATTAAAAAAGCACAGATAAGAAATATTCAATTATTGTGTAATTCTTGGTACAGAATATTTCTTTTTTATATAAAAGACAATCTGAGACGTAGTTTTATATTGGGTATTATGTATAGATTAGGAACACATTGTTTAGGTTTTTTATTATATTAACTAATATTTGCACATAGTCTCTCTTATTCTTACGAGATGGAATAAAAATAACTGGCAGTCATTAAATTATAAGCTTACTTAAATGCGTATATTAATAAGTATATATAAAGATAAGTACACATACATATGTATATACACATATGAAGATACTTATCTTGACCTTACAATGATATTATCGTAATATTATCATTCTAAGGTAAGAACTGATTGATCTGACGGCCTCGTTGGTCTAGCGCTTTAGCACACCGCCTTACTTCCAATGGTCGCGGGTTCGATTTCTCGCATGGCACAAACATTTGTATTTCTGAGTATGATTGTACCGGTCTGGGTGTTTTCTATGTAAATTATATATTTACGAAAAAAATATATCTTTGTATTTGTATCAGTTATCTTGTACCCATAACACAAGCTTTAGCTAGCTTAACTTGGGTATAGATGGCGCTGTGTGAATTGTACTGAGATTATTATTGTTATTATTATTAAAGTGTAGATCAAGCCAGAGAGGTATTTCATTCATGACTAACTATTACCTGCGACTTTTCTTGGTTTTTGTGACAAAAGATAGCTTCTTTTCATATGTGATTCATATACTCCTTTAGTCGTGCATAGCTGACAAACAGATAGTCAGACACATACGTGTTTATATTAGGATGGATGATGATGAAATAGTCATCCGGCTAATATATAATAATAGTGCACTATTTAAATAAATATATTTTTATCCATTCGGGAATAGCACGTGACATAGCTATTTCTATAATGAAAATAACTACTTTTTAATGTAAGTGAGATACACAATAGTTAATAAAACGAACTAGTTGGTTGGCGGAGCCCTCCCAAAGATGAACTACGTGAACCATTACGCAGATCTTTCGCTCTTTTATTCTTTAGTTTGTTTTGGTAAAATGCAAAAGATCTTGATTAAAAATTCTGAACACACTATTGCGGGAAATTATACTTAGAAGTTACTGCCTTTTTATATATAATTTGAGTGAGCGAACAAACTAAGCCAAGAGGGCTGCGAACTATGTATATCGAGTGATACCAATTGAGAACTATTATGGGCAAGTTTATTTTAAGGTTTAAAAATAAAAACTTACGAGAAGACGCAAACAGCTGGCAATGTTAAGGCGGCACTCATGAGGAACACTGCTCCTGGTAGAACCTCCATGGTGGCAGTATAGACTTTTGTGTATAAAGGAACATAAACTAGAGGCATTATATTTTCCGTCAAACCAAATACAGAATTCACTTTTCCTGGAAAATAATTTTAAAAAATTCAATGTTTTTTTTTCGGGAAGACATACTGTATATTATTATTATTATAAATCATTAAGTCATATAAATAGAAATAACATGATGCATTAAAACAATTAATTACATAAAAGAGCAAGAAATTGAAACAAAAAAAAATTCATATACCAAAATAGTAATACCTACCATATATTACAATAAGAAAATAAAAAGAAAACAAATACCTAATTCATTGGGGGCTACAGTCTTCGAAATGATTGATCTCAAAGCCAATAATGATGTTCCATTGAGTATTTCCACAAGAGGTGCTGAAAGGTAATTTGTTTATTCAATTATTACCCAGTCTTTATGGTAATAAATATTTGTACATTCATTACAGGTTCTTGTAATGTAAATATACATGATATTAAATAATTATTTTTTGTTTTATATGACAGAATAATTAATTGAAAGAATAAAAATTCCGGTTCCATATAACTCGATATATTCCGTGAACTATGAACCGAAATAAACTTAAAATAAACAAAATTAATGGAAATAGTTTTTAAACACGTCAGTTTAACTATGTCACTGATATATCATCTTATTATCTACATATCATTATCGTAACTTTTTTTTCTTTATTTTATTACTGATGATGTTTTTCACTTTTATATTAATTTTCTTTTTAAAAGAATCATTGTAATTAAATGAAATTAGTATGATAAATTCATAATCACTATGTTCTCACATCTATGTATATTATAATGAGAGACAAAGGGATTTTGTTACCAAGAGAGTAGACTCCGAAAATACTGCATTCATTTAAGTCATTCTTTAATGTATGAAATAGCATAATTTATCAAGTGTGACATAATATTTTAACATAATCGTCACAATCTTATGATTATTCGAATGATTTCGGGTCTGATTAGTAGTTATTTTAAATTTAATGATCTAATATGGAGTATAATTATTTCTAATTAATATGCCATATCAAGCGATAGCGGGTTTATTCATCACAGATATACCTAGCATGGTACATCTGTGATAAATATTCTCGATGTGTATAAATAAACTCGCTGCATATAAATAAACTCACTGCGTATAAATAAATTCACTGTGTATAAATAAACTCACTGTGTATAAATGAACCCACTGAGGCCGTTAATGCTCGGTCAGTAAGCAAATCAATCAATATTACCATTTACGCGGATATTTGCTGCTTAAATTTTGCTACTTCACCGTCTGCATTATATATACATACCTTCTTTTATATATATGTTTAGTTTTCATGTTAAGTGTCATTATTTGTAATTCTTAATGAGTAGAATGTTCTTTCTGAGAGAGAATAACTTCTCAATATATATTAGATATATATACGCAAACTTAATATAGCACTTAGTTTCCTTACATTTCTGCAAACGAATGATATCCATCGATATTTATTTTTTATATAATTAATTATACAATTCTTAGCTTTAATAATAATATAAATATATGGCCAATAAATAGGCTACTAAATTATTATTGAACTGTTTGTTTGTTGGCGTTAAATTTATTTGCAAGCTAACAATGATATGCAGTATGTTACAAGAAATAATGTTGACCCAATAAAGTGCTGATAGAGTAGGTATACAATGTATTATATTATCAATTATTAATATAATATACATATAGATTATATTGTTCGTTGTAGATTAGAGCGGCTTATTTTTCTTAGTCTGTTTAGGAAATTAATAATTTATCTTTAGTTTCAGAAATGTTCCTCGATTTTTAGTATTTGCACTTTTATAGCATTGTAAAAAGATTGTTATAAGTTTTTTTTATAATCTTACTAATGTTATAAACGAGAAAATTTGTCAGTATGGATGGTTAGATGGATATTTGTTACTTCTTCACGCAAAAACTATTAAACGGATTTTGATGAAACATTACAGTAATACAGATCATCAGAATAATATATAGACTACAAATTTTCTGCGGCTGAAACCGCAAGAACAGTTAGTAATTTACAAACATTTCAATTTCGAATCTAGAGTAATAACTGTCTGATATTTTTCGAGTTATTTATGCCAATATGTCCAAAATAAGACTTATTAAAGAATATTATTGTTGGTTAGCTTTACGTTTATCTGAAAATTTTGAGATGTTCATGTTTTTGCGTCAAACATCGATTAAAGCTAGCTTACAATAGCTAATACTAATTAATAAAAAAGAAAATATTCAAATTTAGAACACCATTTTAAAGTTTTCGATTTCTTTATACTTTTTGTCGAGCTGGGTAAAATAAGTTTATAACGTAGTGATTACTTGCTCATATTATTGCTGGCCATAACTTCTTTATTTTTTATAAAAAAATACGAAAACTTAAATTTGGAATCCGACCCATGTGGTATTCACCACCTAATTGTGACTTACCTATATAAAAGATTTTCTCATTAGGAGCGAAACAATAAACGAAGGACCCAGCGATTTTGCTGACAGTTGATATGATGCCCAGTATAGAGTCGTGCCATTTGAGCTGTTTACTGAACACAGTTATTGAGAATAGTGTACCTGAAAACATTACACAATTTAGGTAAGGTGTACTATATCACTATATCAGAGGATTGTTTTTTATATGTCTATAACTTTATTGAGTATATGACTTTATGTATTTGTGTTGTGGGATTGATGCTACAATTGCAACTAAGGGTAAAGCAGTAATTTAATAATAACTCTTTGTATAACATACGGCGCCATCTATTTCTAGTTTACCCTTGATCATACTCATAATAATAATAAATCTTTTTTTTAACTTGGATAAAGACAACTGACAGTAATACTTGAACACATTTTTTGTAAATATATATCATTTATGCACCGCCAACAATCTTTCTCTGCACCACTCATGGTTCACTGGTAGATAAGGCCACAAGGTGTTAAATCCGCCATATGGACATGTACACTTTATTTTTATACATTAAAGTTAAATAAATAAAATAAATAATAAGACATAGAATATTCATAGACATTATTCAGACCGATAAAACCAATCATACTCATGAATGTTTGCATCGTACGAGGTATCGAACCAGTAACCTCCGATGGTTACGGATACATCCACCGAGGTGGTCATGAAATATACTCATTAAGATAATGTGCAAGTATAGAAACTGCCAACTATCGGAATTGTGAGAGCTAGACTATATAAATAGTCATTGATCGATCTGCAAGGGGAAATAACTAGAGTTGTGATTCAATAGTGAATACATGTTAAGATTTCACGCTGTATTTCTTGAAATACATTTTGTTACTCTATCGGATAAGTTATCTTCATCCTTTCATCCTTTACCGGTACCCGGCAGCGTGCACGTAACAACAAAATGTTATGTTAGATTACAATGGTGTGATCACTAGACGCTATGACATAAATAAATTACCAGTGAGTTTTATAATATATAATACTAATGATAAGCTAATCATATAAGCTTCATTTATGATAATATATAGTCTCTAATGTACTAGAGTTATCAGTAATATAGTTAACTAGTATAACAAGTTTCCTAATGCCATGAATGTAATAACAATTTTGAATGATATAAGGAATAATATGTTACATGATGATAATTGGGTTTTTTTAATGGATGATAATGGATTAGTGTACCCGTCTGTGCTAATGATTTACATCAGGGCAGGATGATAAGATGAAAATGAGGGTAGGTCAGTTAGGCCATCGTGACACTTAATCAGGTTTTTTAGTAGAAATAATGATGGTTTCCAATGGAACCGCGTAAACGTCAGCCTGATATTATACCTTACTATCAATGGGGTCAGAGGCCATATTACTAACAATCTTATACGATGGTTTTTTAACCATGATATGTAATGGTGTAATGGTGAATCGCGTAAGGTCAGTCTTACATGGTGGATGACTAGCAGTAGGGTCATCAGTCCACATTACTAACTGTAATGATTTATATCATAACATAAATATCATATAATAATAATGATAGTAAAAATATGCCCTGGATAATTCTCACAGCACCATCTAGTCCCAAGCTAAGCTGTGCTTATACCAGACAATTGATAGAAAAACGAAGATTTTTTTTGTAGATACAAATAATCATAGCCTTGAATGAATATCATAGTTTGTACTATGCAAGGAATTGAACCCTCAACCATGGCGGTGTGTTAAACAGCTAGACCACCGAGATCGTATAACTATACATACCAATTGTGTGTGTAACAAAGTTGTACGTTTGAAAAATACTAAATTTTACTTCGTCCCAGCTGAACCGATATCTCGTTGACATGTACATTATTGATATTTCACCTGAAAACAACAATCAACGGTCAGATTCCATGCCACATTCTGATTAAAAAGCAAATTATAATCTATAAAATTTATATATAGTTAATACTATAGTTAAACACTAAAATTATAACAACTAAAAGGATAAATGCGAAAGTAACTCTGTCTTTCTGTCGGGTTTTCACGTGGAAACAGATTTTAAATAAATTTGGTCACAGATCTAGATTGTGAAAAAGGAGGCTACTTTATAATACGAGTTGTGAGGGGTTGAAATGAGCTATGAAAGATCGTATCGAAGTGTCGTCATTTTTAAAGCTAGAAATAGAAATAATCTTTATTCAAATAACAAGTACTCATTACAAGTACTTTTTAATAGTCATATTTTCATTTTACCACTCATTCAATGCAGATTCATCACAAGAAGTATGAGAAAGAAACTTGTGTATTGCTCTTTTTATTACAGCTATAAGCTTGAAACTTATTTTTATAGGCTCTTGATTAAATATAAATAAATATGACAAAATCTTGTAATCAATTTTATTTAAGGGAAAATATATAAAATAGAGGATGAAAGTTTTTTATGGAAATTCGTCATTTTTAAAAACTACAACGACGTCATGAATATCATTTTCGTATAATAATTAGCTTAAATAATTAAAATGCTACCAAAGGTCACATTCATTATTCTACGCAGACGAAGTCGCGGGCACAGCTAGTTAAATGTATAAATATGAATAGAATAGAATAGAATAGAAAATCATTTATTCAAATAAACTTACACTGAAGCACTTTTGAATAGTCATTACATTTTTTTTAATCTACCGCTCGTTCGGAAAGCTGTCTCATCACAAGAAGAACGAGCAAGAAACTTGCGTGTTGCTCTTTTAAATAATTTTATTATTACTTTACATTTTCAAGTTTAAGTGTGTGAATACAAACCACCAATTAGCACTAATTCAATTAAATAATCAAAAAGAAAAAATATTGAATACATAACCAACTGGTTAAACAATTAATAAGAGGAAATCAGTCATAGTGATTAGAGCAGACCAGTCCCTACAAGCAGCACCCGTTCACGAGTATGACGGATGAGCCAGCCATCACTGCGCTCGACCATATTTTAGGGAGCCCAATGACCCGGCCCACCACGCCGCCACAAGTCTGGACATTTTAGTGAGCATGACTACTCAAAACACTAGACCACGTCAAAGCTACTTACAATTGCCATCTGATAGTTATAGTATTCACATTTTACATACGAATGCATGCGGCAATTAATACAAAAACCGCTACGCTTTCATATTTCTAAAATCAATCAATTAAATCAAGAAAGCAATGAGAAAATAAAATTATAGCGTTGTATGCTAATAAACTAATTATTTACTTGATATGTTGTCATCTATGAATTCGTCTATCCTGTAATAGGCTTTCTTACATAAAAATTGTTTAATAATATGTTATTTATAAAGTGTATATGTAATCAATCAGAAAATAATTGAATGTAATCGCTATAACTGCAGCATTGTCGTTATCGAATAAATGTTTCGTTTGATTACTGCTAATTAGTTATTAATATTAGTTACAAAATTTACAAAGTATTTGTTTTTAAATGTATTTTGAATATCGAAATGTTGGTACTATTGTTATTATTACAAATTAGAAATAACTAATTTTTTAATTTCGAATTTCTATTGTTAACCATGTATCGATTGAAGAAATTAGCAATTCGATGCATTTTTGTATGTAAGTCATTATTATTGTAAAGTCATAATCGTCAAAATCGAATTCATTTATGAAAGAGTTTATCTTATACATGGTTCATTTCACAAGATAAATTCTTTCATGGGCTTGTAGTCTATTATTTAAATTTTAATGTTGTTTACTAAAGTTTTTGTTAGACAATTTTAAAATTTAAATATAATTATAACTTCGAAGACAGTCCGATGAAGACATTTTACTATACTAATTTATTTCAGATAAAAATCCGAGTTTATTAGGGCATAAACTCGCATAGAATGAACATTTCTTTAATAAAATGTGAAGTCACAAAAGATAATTCATACACACCTAAAACTATAACTTCTTACTTATTTATTTTGCTTTATTATATAAGTACCAAAAACTAATGTTTTTTAAAACGACTATTTTGAATGAATTAACAAAAGACTAAAATATTTTAATATTCATCACATTTAATTTAAGTATAAAAAAAATTCGGAATCCATAAATATATTGATAAATTTGAATATTTTCTTCTGTTTTGGTACACAGTGTGTATATTATGAATATTTCTTTATTCCACTTCACAAAATATGTATATAAAGAAACATACATAACAATAGTTTCTCTTTTGTTATGCGTAGTGTCCCCTCTTGAGGTTTTTTCCGTTCTGGATCGGGAGATAAAAAATAATTGTATTGTTGATCTCTATGTTTATTTGCAGAGATAATAGACGTTACTCGATTCGACTTTTTTGTATGCATTTTTTTTTATTTTTGATCTCAGTACCGTTTTCTTTATCAATCGATTTATTTTTGATTTTATTTATTTCATTGTTACGGCATTATAACATACTATCCAAATTGGTGTTACAATTTAATACAGTTTATATATAAAGATATGATTACACCAATTCAAACATTCTAAAAATTCAGAATATTTTTGAATTAGAATTAGATTTAGGGATAATGTACGGTGGACAGTAGGGTTAAAAAATATAACGTGCACAAGAGAATGGAAGATCTTACCAAACATGGGTCCAAATAGAATACTGACGACAATCAGCAGAGCACACACACGAATCCTCCTTTTGTTCGGTCCATTTTGGAACACCACTCTCATGGTTTCCTTAATGCTGGATAAATCGAAGAACGTTCGCAAGAAGTAGCGGAAGCCGCGACGATCATGCTGTGAGTAAGAATAGAATAGTATTATTACTGTATAAAGAAAATGTATGTTCCTAGAATGATATTCATTATCCGATAGTCCATATGATGGAGAGTATAGACACTACAGCACCACACAAATTGTCGCGGGACAACAATGGTATTGCTTCAGCTTGGTAATTGCTGAAAACTAAGATATCATGCCTTCATACACTGCAATTTTCCTTTAAGCCGAAATTCAAAATCAGAATTAGGAGTCAAAATTAGGATTGAAAATAGATTTCAAATTATTGTTATAAACCGGATATATTTGTTTTAGATAATAATGTATTCACTGGGATGAATGAAATAGAAAAACTTATTACGCCGACTTGAAATAAATGGGATAAGAAAGAAGCAGATGATGATATATATATAGATTCACAAAATACCTGACCAGTTTTTTTAAAACCTTGTACCTATAGAAAGCTTAGCTTAGAAAGTCATCGCAGATTTTCAAGAATATTGAACGCCGGAAATAGAATTATTAGCGCTTTAAGGAAATATCAAAAGTGCCACTGACAACAGCAATAAATTCAAATCTTACTGTATTCTCCTCAAATTTTCAAACGGTGCAATAGATGAGCACTGCACACTTGTAGTAATTAAGACCTATATATCAGTTAAAAAATTGAAGTATCTGGAAGATTTGGCTTTTAAGATGTATGGAATCAGAAAGAGCATGTGTGGTTGACAGATATAATGACAAAACGGATGTATGTGAAATTATATCAATACTACTCACTACTCTATACTTTTTGTTTTATTCTCTTTTAAAGCTTCTAACGTCCTAATATTTATGTATGACTAGTTACATCTTTAGAATACTTTTGTATGTGGACACTTGGACACTTGTCAAAGTCAACATCTTTATTTTACTGATTGCGGGTATACAGAAAAAAAATTGGAAATACCTTCATATGTTCGGCAGTCCTTTCTGGATCTTTCAATAAAAATATATTGTACAATAAGTTTAACAAATGTAAACCTCCACTAATACTATAACATCCATAATACCCTATGGTTTTTAGTAGTATACCACTTAAACCAGTTCCGATCGGAAAACTCACAGTCACACAAAAATTCACTAATCCCATTCTAAAGGTCCGATTTTCAACCGTCGTGATAGCGCTTATATAACAGAAGATAGTTAGAAATACAATGCACCAATTACCAGTGATACTTTCAATAATTGCTTCTATCAACATAAAAACTTCTAATGAATACTCGTTGAAGAAAATAACATATATTGTACTGTTCACACAAGCCAACAATTGTCCTAAAATTGGTATTATTATAAAAATTTTTCGATATCCTGTCATATCTGACCATGAACCCACAAAAAGGGCTAATAGGGAGGGAATTGTCGCTGTTAAATACGTCTTCATTGCCACATATGAAGATACTAATTTTTGAGTTTCTTTCTCGTAAATATTTTGAGCGTGCATGTTTTGGTTTCTCAATCCAGAACAGATCTCATCTGTGAAGTTCAGATTCACTCTGCATGCTTTGTCTAGATTAATATTCTGAGTAGTCTGCATTGAGAACATGCAAGCTAGAATAAACAGTACCATAGACGGTTCTACTGTAATAAATCTAAATACGTTTCCAATTGAACTTATGAAACTTTTCTTATGTTCAACACTATTTGTCTCAGTTTTGGTAAGAGGTTCATTTTCTTCATAATCCTTTATTATTCCTTTTTCTCTTTTTTTAATATTAACAACACTATTTTCATTTGCATTTGGATTTTCTATACTATTGCGTCTATTTTGTTCTTTCATTATTTCTTTATTTTAATTTATATGGATCCCGGATTTTCTAAACTGTTTCACTCAACCGTCTATTTACAACTGATCCAAGCCCGGAAAGTTTGTTACTATCTTGTGCATATCATCAAACCCAATTTGCTAATGATATTTTATCGATGTAATCGTAAATGGATATATTTGTGTACAATTTCTATGTCTAACGTGATATAGATAAGGAGATATATAACAATTGTCCTTTAATGTATCATCTTTATTCTCGTGTAAACTACAAAGTAATATAATAATGGATACAATTTGTAACAATCCTTGTATAGTCTAGGAAGTTTCTGTCTATATCTAATATACATTCATCTGATGATTCTGCTAATAGTGACTACATAGACTTGAAGAGTACAGTGTTTGTGATAGAGTAGAGGGTATATGTATAACTACGCATGTGTACTTTCTTTTGTACATATAGAATTACCAAAGAAATTTTGATTGGGAAAAAAATTTATAACATTAAGTTTCGTTATGACATGGCAGAATATAATAAGGAGTAAGTAAGACAGACAAATGAAAACAGCGACTTTAATTTCTACTATTATATATATAGATGTAAAATTATATTGTTATATAGGTAATTAAGGTTTCAATGACCTAATATTGATTAGATTTGGATAATAATTTAATTTGTACACACATAGCAATTCTGGATTGGCGCTTTTATCGATACATACGATTTTTCTATGTAAATACATATTTAGAAAGCATAGCAAGCAATGGCACGAGAAAATAAATGATTTGTCTTCTGTAATGTTTGGCAATCTCAAAATATAGTTTAAAATTGAAATTGAGCAAATTTTTAACATATTTACGTATAGAAAACTATTTATGTTCATTATCAGCGAGTAACATGGGCTGAATTTCATTTTAAAAACAATTAGAAAAAGAGGTTATTGCGCTTTTGCTACGCAGTTGTCTTGCAGTTGTTGGTTATTTAGAAAAATTCAGAATATTATCCCTTTTGTTTTATCGAAATATTTACGTATAGCTTCATAAATAACACAACTTTTACCTGGCAAAGATTTTTCAAATATTGCCCAGTTGACTGACGTAGATGATATTTTTTTAATTATGTTGATTAACATCGTAGCGTTCCCCTCGATATATCTCACACTACACTTGCAATTTAAAAATAATCATAAGGAACTTCTACTTGTTGCACAGAAAACTGTGCTCTGATATTTATGTATTTATTTATTTCAACAACTTTAATGCACATAATTCAAATTTCAAAGTAAATATGGCGGACTTAACACCATGTAGTCCAGTCAACCATTTGTGGTGCAGAGAATAATTATTGGCGATGCAAATATAAATAAATGATACAATGAACAATACACATACAAATATATATGAATAAATAGCTATATACATATACACATATATAAACTATACATAAATACATGTCAATGAAATATCACGTGCAGCCACAAACTATGGAAGATATCTGTAATTAATATAAATGGTAATATTTTACAGCTATATCATATTTATTTATTCTATTTTATTTTAGCAGATGACTGGTGAACTTCATTAAGAAATATCAAAATAATAGGCTTACAATATAAGCCCCTACTGTTAAGATTAATGCAAAACATTGTTTAGTTATATGTTATTACAAAGCAATAATAGGCACTTTATTACTTGAGTCGTCTGTCAAAATTCTTTATAAGACTGTATTAGTTATACAAAAATATAGTATATAATAAAATTCTTAATAGAAAATACATTATGAATATGAAGTATAAAACTATATGGCCAGTACGTCAGCAACAAGTTCACTTGTATGTATATGTAATTAGCTGTATATGTATGTTTGTATACTGATTGGAATAAAACATACACAAATTTTAAGTGAAGCCTACCACAAGATATTAGTCAAGACCAAGAAACACGTAAACTAGCAAGTATATCTAGATTCTACAGATGTTCTGGGTTCTACTACGTTAATAAAGTTCCTTATTAATGTAAATATATTATTGTATATATAGAAGATGGGTTTTTGTTTGGTATATACATACATATATGTTTTTAAGGTTGCGTTTACCACAATGTCGATTGTTTTTTACACTTATATATCAGAGAAATTATGTTTATATGAATTTGGATCTAAAAGTTTTCATAATTTTCTAGAAAATTAACCAAAATATTTAAGCAACAATATCAGTTAACATTGTTAAATGGCTTGATGGATTTTAATAAATGAGATGTCGTTAAATTCATCTTAATTGGCGGTTGATATTGGATATACGAGTATCTTAGAGAACGGATTAGGGTTGTTTGATGATATTAAAACATATTTGTCATACATTGTTACAAAGTATGCTGAAATATATTCTGAAAGCTGGAAAATACATATTTACACTTTTTGTAGATACTTCGGTTATTGTTTTATTGTATACTGGAAGATGGAATCTAGAATGCCACATAGGAACCTAATAAGTTCAAATAGCATATTTATTGTATCTATATAATATATCTTATTGGTAAATATATAACAATTACCTTTTTTTGATCAGCACTTCTTATTGGATCCTTTAAGATGAATATATTATACAGAAGATTTAGTAAATGAAGAACACCAACTAACCCGTAGGCTCCATAGTAGCCTAGATATTTTAAAATAACACCATTTAAAGCCATTCCAATTGGAGCACCCACTGTTAATGCAAAATTAACCATACCCATTCGAAAAGTTCTAGTTTCATCTGTCGTTATAGCACTTATATAGGCAAATATAGTTATAAGAAATATAGCCATTCCCCCACTAACAGAATCAATGACTGCTTCAGTAAGAACAAAAGTATGTAAATTAGTTTCTTCAAGAAAATACACATTTAGTATACTACTAAGACAAGCCACAAATTGTCCGATTATTGGCATTATTAAGAAACATTTTCTATGTCCTGTTTTATCAGAAAAAGATCCAACAAAGATGCCCAACAAACATGGAATTGTAGCAGTTATATAAGTCTTCGTAGCAAAAGCTGATGTCACTAATTTTTGTACTTCTTTTTCGTATGAGTTTTGGCTTTCTATGTCTTGTTTCTTGAGAGCCGTGCAAATTTCATCACTATAATTTAAATTCACTCGACACGCTTTCTCTAAACCTAAGTTTTGTGCCGTTAATGCCATAATTATGTAAGGAATTACAAACAAAATAACAGAAGGTTCCACAGTCACATTTTTGATTGCAAGCGAGAGAGATTCACAGCAAGTTGCTTTTGACTTTTCAGTTATAACTTCACTTGGTCTAAAAGGTTCTTCTTCAGCAGTTTCTTCAGTATAGTTTTCATTTTCCGCGTTAGTATTACGATTTGTAACTTCCATTGTTAATAGTGATGGAATCAGAGACGCATTATGTAGTAAACTGTTAGTTCTGGAAAAAATATTTATGGCCATACGGTAATCAATGGCATTGATCCATAATCTTTTATAGATAATTATTCGATAATATTATATTCGTCAGTACTATGATTAAGCTAAGATATTACTAAAACAGTTTAATTTTATCTAGTAATATTTATAATGGCTATTCATATATGAGTATTTATTTATTAAAACTATGTCAATATTGTATTGTATTATAGTTTGACTATAGTTGTATAAAACCGGTTAGCTACCGTTATTTAACCAAATTTATGGTTAGAAATCCGACTGACAAAGAAAAAGAGTAAATAATCTGGCTTTTTATTTTATAGTCAACTACTAGGGAAAAAGAAAAATTGTTATTCACAAATATTTAATTTACATAATCGAGTTTCAAACACGAGTACTTTTTTGTAAATATAACGTAACTAAAATATACAAACTCAAAATACCTACATGGGTAGGTATATTTATTAAGTACCAAAAAACATACCTATCTATGTAGATAATAAAATTGAACAATGGAGACGTTGCCGCTTCGATTAGTATTAGTAGCAGATCATGCGTCATGCGTGGCGAACGAACGCGAGCGGAGTACATATTCTAATGTACTGAAAGTATATATCGTCATCTCCTTTGCGCACAAATGACACGAAAGGTGCGTTCCTTTCAGGGAGTTAGGCTAGTTTCGCGGTTACAGTGAACAGTAGAGTACGTTTGTTTGTTGTAGTGCGAAGCTTTCATTTGCGAACTAAAGATGCCGCGTAGTGATGGTGTTTGGGAACATTTTATAACGAAACATGAAAGTGATAGCAAAAAATATGCTATTTGTAAATACTGTAACACTCAATATAAATCTGTTCAGCGACCTAGACTTAAAGAACATCTATTAAAGTGCAAACAATGTCCAAATGAAATAAAAAAAATGTTTCGTACTGAAAAAAGTAGTGATTACGCCAATAATCCGTCAGTTTCGGCTTTACCAAATGCATCAAAATTGTCACATTCGCTAACGATAGACTCAGCGAACACATCAAGTGCCATCAAGACCACCACATGCGCCGTAGAAAATATATCGACATTATCTGATTTAGAGTCATCCACGCGCGAAGGTTTTTCTGCTAGCTATGTAGACACTGCTGTAGCGAGAGCCATTTATGCTAGTGGAGTTTCGTTGTCGCTGCTAGAAAGTGAATATTGGAAAAACGTTTTCAAAGCTTTAAACCCATCTTATACAGTGCCGTCCAGAGATGATTTAAGTAAATCACTTTTAGAAGCTGAGTACATGCGAATTAAAAAGGATATCGGTGATATCCTTACGAAATCTACGACTCTTAGTCTAATTTGTGATGGATCGATAAATGTTGTTGGTAAAGGGGTGCTCAATTTTATAATTACATCGCCGAAACAAATTTTTTATAATGCCCTGCCTAATATATACCCTGAAAGTCAAAGAGAAACAGGTAAATTTTTGAGTGAGAAAATTATTGAAATTATTGATGAAGTTGGCCCCACGAAATTCGTGGCCGGAATATCTGAGAATACCGCTGATATGAAGGCAGCTTGGGCGATTGTAACAGCTAAATACCCTCATATTGCTTATGTAGGATGCGTAAGTCATGCTTTAAATTTGATATATGAAGATGTTTTTGAAATAACTCTTTTTACGGAGGTCCAACGTAATGTCAAAACAGTAATCGATTACATAAAAAGTACGCACGTTATACAAGCATCATTTGAAAAGCTTCAAATTGAAAAATACGGCCAAACCAGAACTAGTATTAAATTATTTTCAGAAACGAGGTGCAGCGAGAAATATCTTATGATTAAATCCTATAAAGAAAACAAAGACACGCTCAATTTGTTTGCTACGTGTCCTGTAAATCAACGTCGTACAAAATATAAAAACTATAATTTTTGACAACACGTTATGGAAAAAAGTTGATGAGGTGGTAAAAGTTCTCGAACCAATGGCCAAGGCTATTTCGATATCTGAAAATAATACTGCTACACTTTCAGAGGTGCCTTTTATTTTCAATTCATTGTACCAAGAGTTAACCACCGAATTGGAAAAAGCACAATGCTTGAGCGAATCGGACAAAAAAGAGATAATATTAACTATCCAAAAAACAAAAGAATTTTGCTTGAAGCCCATTCACTACGCGGCACACCAACTGGATCCAAGATATTGCGGCGTTTATCTAAGTGACGCAGAAATAAGTATGGCTGCAGAATATTTACAAAAAGTTTCTATAACGTTAGACTTTGAAGTTTCTAATGTACTTAAAAACATGGCAGAATTTAAAGTAAAAGAGAAGTTTTTTGATGAACGCAAAGCCATTTGGACTCCAGTTAATAAGTTAGAACCCAGAGTATGGTGGAAAACTTTTGCGTCTAACCTAGACATTGCTAAAATAGCCATCAAAATTCTGAGTGTGCCCCCATCATCTACTTCAGAACGTAATTGGAGCCGTTTTTCAACGGACACTGAAAACAGAAAGTGGCTATGTAATTCAACAGTGAAATTAATGATCATTCGGTCCAATTTAAGCTTATCCAATGTGTCAGTTGCTGAATTATCAGACCAAGACGGCACTGATATGAGTGATAATGAATTTGAAATTACGAACAATGAACGCGATAGCCTTTTGTAATACGAGTATATTTATTTAAATTATCACACATAATATACTCTAGTATCTAAGAATATAATAAGTAAATACTAAGTATTTACTAATTGCTACCAAATTACCTGTAATTGTTTTACCATTATTTTCATTTAATGGCATTTTTTAATCTAATAGTAGGGTTAATAACTGTAAACGTTTTAAAAACTATATTTTTTGCATCAATTCATCATATCAATCATTCAATGCTTTCGCATTTGTCCAATTTATGTGCAATAAACTTGCATATTATTAGGTTTTTCTCCTTATATTTTCGTCGATTTCGATGGAAAATAATAATGTTATCATGACGGACGCATCTTTGAATTGTTTTTGCAACTTAGAGATTTTAGACTGGAACTCATATTCGCCATCGGACCTTGTCAGAATAATTTGCTCATGTAACTCCGGTACTTGACTGTGAGAATTGCCGCAATATGTAGAATGGTCATCAACATTAATCAATGTTTAGTTTAATTTTTTTGGAGGTTAATTGTCAGTGTGTTCAGTAAAAGTAGATTTTATAATTGGTTATTAGAAAAAGTGTTTTTATAGTAATAAGGATTCTTTTAACTAGCTAAAATATACAAACTCAAATTATCTTATTATATTTTTTATTTATTTATATTAATTATATGAGTTGGCAAGTTTATTAAGTACCACAAATATACCTACCTATGTAGGTAATTTGAACAATGGAGACGCTGCTACTTCGATCGAACGAATTGGCAACGTAATAAAGTTATCTTAACTGTTAAGGATTCTTTTAACATTATAACTTTATTTGTTGACATATTTTAAAACAAACAATTTAATTTAACTGTTAGAAATATTTCTAAATTTTAATTCAATTATTAAACGTATCCTAATAATGTATATTAATGGATTGGATCCCTGTAAGCTGATTGTAATACTGTATTCTGCAAATAAATAAATGATTACAAACAAATACATGATACTTTTTCTACATCTGATTTTGATATGGTGATATTACCTGAAAAAATGTGTTAAACAGAGAAAATAAAAAAAGAAAGTTTAAAAAATACCACATGATTGGGTAATATTTTTGCAATTTACCTGTATTCTCTAAGTTTTAAGCAATGATTTACTGCATTTTATAATCAAATCATTTTAGTGCAATACATATTCGTTTTAATTTTGGTATGGCACCTCAAATTAGGGCCTAACATATGAAATTGGCGTTTTATAAGGGAGTAACCTAAAGTTGATTTCTACAAAATATAATGTATTTATTTAATCAAAGTCTGTACCTTTGCTATTTATGCACTTTTGCCATCTCATAGGTAGTTCATCAAACCTAAACCTAAATTCATACGGAAATCAATAAAATCTTTGAAGGCGCTTTGGAATGCCGCATCCGAGTTGATTTTTTTTCCCTGCAAGAAGTTATCCAAATTTCGAAAAAACATGGTAATCTATTGGAGCTTGTCCAATTTAGTTTGTCTGTTGTGTAGTGTGTCGTCCAGCGTTGTCCTGAAACAGCAGTGGCCTACGGAGATTGACCAGCCGCGGTTGTTTAGCAGCTAGCTTTTCCATCATCGTTTGCAATTGCTGACAAAAAAAAAACCTCTGCCGTAATCGTCTGACCAGATTTAAGAAAGCTGAAGTGGTTCGCTTCAGCTTTCTTACTTAGCTACACCGGCATTAGTCCACTAAATCCTCACAAGTAAATTTTTTGAGTCAATTTTCGCTTGGGGTAGGATTTGGCTGGTTCTGCCATTACGATGAGCATTTCCGATTATCGTACAAGATACACTTTTCATCACAGGTAATGATTCGATTTAAAATCCCTTCATTATTATGCCGGTTGACTAATGTAACGCAGCAGTCTACGCGTGTTTGTCGATTTGCTCCACTCAATTCATGAGGGACTCACTTTTCAAGCTTTTTCACCTTCCCAATTTGCTTCAAGTGGATTAAAACAGTTTTGTCACTAATATCACAGCCTGCAGCTAACTCAGACGTTATTTGTGATGGATCCGCTTCCACAATAGCCTTCAATTCTTCATTATCAACCTTGGACTAAGGCCGCTCACGTTTTGCAGGTCGAAATTTTCAGAATGAAAACGTTGTAACCAAAAACGCACTATGTTTTCTTTTACTACACCACTGCCATATAAATCATTAAACATTCGAGCCGTTTCTGCAACACTAGTGCCACGGCGATACTCGTACTCTTAAATAACGCGATATTTTTAGTTTTCCATTTTAAACTGAGTGACGCAAAGAAAAAACCAAAAATGGAAAAAATATATGGATTACTGTTTTCGAAAA